ATTACGGTCAAATTCAAAGTGGATTTCACTTTAAATTCGATAATGAGTCTCCTTTGTGTTTACTACAGAAATGTTATCTGTGATTCATTGAGCGTGATTCGCACTGTTTCGCTGAAGCTGACTATCCATGACGAGGCGATGGCCGAATTAATGAACATTGGCTGGCGAAAATGATCGAACACCGACCGACACCTACGTACATTTATTTAACGACGAGGCCTTTGCGGCAGTGGATAATGGTCTGTCCGTAGTCATTACACGTTACTGTAGTAGTGTGGTTGAAGACAACTGACAAATCTATCGCCATCTATGTTTTGACAACTAAGAATATGTATTTACTCGAATGTATTAACCCGATTTCTTCAATGTAGCGAAGCCGGTTTCTTTCATGTCTTAAAGTTGTACTGTCAGCAAAACTATTTTTGACGCCTTCGACATGTAAAGTAATATGATTACTGTAACAAATGCAACAGCAACTGTATTGGCAAGACATTTGCATCAGAAGTTACCTGTCATTTGCCGAACATCACCGAGTAGTTCATTGGATTGGACTGTTTGAATTTTCAGTTGCTTAGGGTGTCATCATGTCACCGAATCACACTCGGATTTCTCTGTTCAACTATTGGGGAATGAAAACACTATAGCATTTTCTATTAATCTGAGATGCACATCTAACTTTTAGGTTGATTTCTGTAGCCATTATGACCATCCCTTTTGATTGAAAAGAACATCAATTTTACTTCAAATATTGAACATTACGTTCTAGGTTGATTTATTCTCCTTCTTATATGTCTTTGCGCCTTGCTACTTGCAGCTTTCAATTTAAAGCCATTCATTTCCCCACCTGCAAATGTAGGACGAAATGTAAAACCGAACTATTTATTAATATAGAGACGTCAGTACGATCAACTTGATCGGAATCAACGTTGTGCAAGTTAATATTACTGTAATAAAATTGTGCACATGACAAACTGAATCTGGAAAAAAACAACAACGACGTTTTGCTCACGTATATAATTGGGGAAACATTAAGCACTGATTTCACTCGTAAGGATTTCCGTTTGTCTTGTTTCTTGTGAATATTTCAATACCATTTTCAGCTTGAGCGGATTCAATTTTCCGCGACTAAACCATAAAACACAAATCTTCAGAATCTGTTCAGTTTATAAAGTTAGTCATTTACTGTATAATCTAATGCATTGACAACTTTGAAAGAACTGCACTTTTCTAACGTAAATTATGCCTATTTTAATCTAATTAACCAAACATTTTATTCAGTTTTAGGGCGTAAAAGTGTTATTAAACTGAATTAAGTAACCGGATAACTTGAACTTGTTACCTTACAGGGACTTGAAGTTCGAACATATTCGAATATGCAAATTACTCGTAAGTAAACCTGCTCTGTGCTGTTCGGAGTTGGAGGTTATTTGTCTTTAACGCGCTCACGAAGTAGGATTCGAACAAGAATGCATAGCAGAGTTTAAAGGCCGTCGCACTGTGACGTCATATGTTTACATTTTTGCCAACCAGCATGCAACAATTCTAAACTAGAACATTCTTAAAAGGACAATGATCGTCGCGCACTGCGTGTTCAAATTACGTGTAAACATGGGCAACTTTATATTGTAGTACATTGCATGGTTACTGACCAATGACAATTCATTTGTATTCTATTGAATCGCATGTTCCTTACCAATACCAGTTAATTTATATTGTGTTAAATTACATGTTACTTACCAATACCAGTTACTTTGAATTCTAGTGGGTTACATGGTTACTTACTAATACCAATTAATTTATATCATATTATACGTTACATACCAATTCTAGTGGCTTACATGGTTATTTACAAGACCAGTTAATTTATGTTCGAGTGATGTACATGGTTAATTACCAACGAAAGTTACGTTACATTTAATTACAGTTACTATATGCGCTAGTGACTAGCTACCGAATTATATTTATTATATATATATATATATATATATATATATATATATATATATATATATATATATATATATATGAATATCTATATATATATGAATATCTGGTTACTTACCAATGCCAGTTACTTCCACTTCCGTTCCATCATGTTGCCATGGACCAAACTTCAGTGGACATTCCTGTTTGTCAAACGGAAATCTTCTAACGTCTATTTTACAATAAGTTTTGAATATCACGGGTGCCGCCCAATTAATAAATCCGTCGCTGTTTATCACACATATTTGATTTACTTTGTAGTCTTCATATCTATCATCGGCACTGAAAACAAGTATAATCAGTCATCATACAATTGTATACAGAAATACACTAGTCCCTGAAGAAGTGAAAGTGTGTCAAACAAAAGTGGAATTTTAAAATGTACACATGTTGAGATTTTCAAAATACAACTTATATAATTATATATATAGATATTTACATATCATCGATTATCAGTATAGATTTTATATGAGATTCGGAAACTTATTCGCATACTTATCATAAAGGGTCACATCTGGCATCCATAAACGGTTAGATGGAATCTTGAAGTGGTCGATATCGCCGTATTTGTCTGCATCCCATTGCAAGTACTCGTCAACCCATTCCTGTGAAGACAGGTGAAACGTCTAGAGACCTGAGCCATTGCTCGAAACGTCTAGCTATTTTTAATAGTTATTTAGGACTACGATTACCTAATATTATCTTCAATATATCATAGTTCGAAGTTGGCGCGCACGGTCACTGTATCTTGTGTAATAAACAACTGAGTCAAATACGCTTATGCATGAATGCAACTTTTTTGGTTTATTTTTCGATCTTTCAAACCACATATTTATCTGCAATTTTGTTGGAATAGATGGAATACGATTTTAATGATTACCGCTCGATTGTCCACAAACAAGACAGTAGATTGTTTAACGTTCTCAAACAAAAATACCACGTGATGATGAAATTCGCAAGCTGTCCATTGATTTAGGTACACGCCTTTGTTATTTGTCAGTTAAATTAGCCATTAGCTGTTCATACCTCTCCTCAAACTTAATAACTTTCCACCAGCAATTGGAAAGTTTTCCGGAGATTAGTTGCCTAATATTTCTCCTCTCGTTTGAATCTCCGTTAAATTCCAGTTTCTTTGATGACATTTATATGACCAATGAAACGCCGGTACTCGATAAAATCCAAAAATATTTAAAAACTGCCCTAACATGCTCGTAAATGACCTCTGTCCACAAAAAAGTGTTACCTGCTCCCAAGAAATTGCCCTTGGAACAGGCGACACCTGTTGATTTTCTTAAATAGTTCGAGAAATTAAAGAATGCCTGACGACCTGACAAAATATGACATTCAATTGAAAACGTGTTATCTTGCATGTTGAAACGTGCAAACGTTATGACCACGGCCCCGTACGATTATGTATGTTTCACATTAGATTTTGTAGTGGTGACGTAAACCACTAGTAAACTATAGAACCATGGGAATTTCGCAATTACAGCATCAGTAGTAACTTAGGCGAGTAAACTCGCCATTACAGTATCAGTGGTAACTCAGGCGAGTAAACTCGCCATTACAGTATCAGTAGTAACTTAGGCGAGTAAACTCGCTATTACACCATCAGTGGTAAATTACGTGGTAATTGCAATGAGATACTGGTACTGTTAATGTATTACACAAATACTTAATATTATACACTAATACTGCTCACGTCACGTACGCCAATACTTCTGACATGTACACCGACACTGTTTACGTCACGTACATCGATACTATTAGCACATGGACGTGGTACACTAATTCTGCCAAAGTCCCACACACCAGTACTTTTAACATGTATACTGACATTGCTAACGTGATGCGTCATTACTTCTAACATACTAGTAGTACACCGATACTTCTAATAATGTCGTACACTAAAACTGCTAACGTCACGTACACCAATACTTCTGACATGTACAACGACATTGTTTACGTCACGTACGTCGATACTTGTAACATGTTACACTGACACTGCTAACGTAATACACAAATGCTTCTAATATGTTATACTAATATTTCCAACGTGTTATACCAATACATCTGATATTATCATGTACACGTGTCGGGCGTACAAGTCACCATCTCGTCAAATTACAAGCAGCATTTATCTTAGCGCATTTGTTACTTTATTAGATTTCCAAAGGTCATCTGACTATAATTCAGACATTTACGATACAAGATTTTATCGTTCTTTATTGTTGTCACGGTGAAATCCTGCCAAGACTTCAATGACAGCAGACTGGTCATAACAAGAAATTCAGGTAGCGCAGTTAGGGACAAATTGTAATAAAGATCATGATTGGACGAACCGTAAAAAAAATCGTATTGGACACTTGCCACGTTTACATCGCAGTATCAAATGCATGTCGTTATTCGAATCCGTTGAGTCGCTAGTGGGGGCAACTACATAACGCTTAGCAAAAACCAAAGTTTAATATAATTTTATATCAACGTTAAAACAAAACAAGACTAGACAGGCAAATATTTATGATCTGGTAGGATGTCAGGAAGTATCTGGTTGAGTCGAGCCATCTGGTGTATTGTCGAAATCGTCTGTTTTAATATGAGTTTTGAAGAATTAATGTCCAATGTCCAATTAATGACAACGTACATTCATAAATCAACTCAGGAAATTGATACATGAAGGCATGTAAGGACTCATACCACTTCCCAACTCCGGAAAAAAATATTATTTGCCACTCTGGAAAATACTACAATTTATCGTACGATGCAAAGTGGGCCTTTACATAGAAACCCGCACGTCACGTGACATTATGATTTGTTATATACACAACCTCTGAAACATCACGGTGACAATAGAATATAGACATGTCTATAATAAAACGTGTTCATTCACGAAACGTACACGTCGAAGTTGTCCGTGAATGCCGCCAATTTCCAGACTGTGATAACATAACTACTTAAAGCGGGAGGATCTTCACCTGCGCACGCGCGGGAATTGAGTCCCAGGCGACGATAACATTACACGCTAAACACGCTTGTTTGTAAACAATGACACGCTACGGCCATCTGACGCATGCGCAGATGACGACTCCCTGCTTTAAATGGTCTTTGGCGCAAATGACGCCGAGGTCTCGCTGAGCCACGAGACTTGTTTTTGTCCCTCCAGCAGTCTTTCACTCCCCATCTCTCTTTATCGCGTCCACTGCTTCTCTAATCTATGTAACCATGGTAATTAGTACAGTTAAAGCGATGACAGGAGAGAATGAAACACTATTTGAAGGGCAAACACAAAGCCTCGCAACTTGTTTTCAACGAGATCTCGGCGGCCATTTTCGCCCAAGGTCTGGCCAGTCACTGATAACTCAGCATCTATTAAATCGCAACTGAATTCATATATCAATTGTTTGTTTTTCCTTCTACTCTGTATTATATAACTCTTGGTCCCCGTGCGTACAATATACAAGCAATAATACATTACTGTGGCGTGATGTTTCAGTTCAGCTCAGATCAGATGTTTCAACGTACATAATATATACTACACAAACACTTGACCCTAAGTGGCACGGGAGCTCTACACATAGGTATATTTTTTTATGAGAATCGTTTTAAAGCGTTATACAAATTATCCCCAGGGCTGGACAAGATAACTTCCTGCCTGATTATTCTCAAGATCGATGCACCAATTAAATGCACTAAATGGCAATGCCCAGAGCCTTTATTTCCCGTAAGATGGCGTTCATGACGTAAATACCAATCTCCCTTTTTTTACAGCTCTCTAGTTTTTTATGGTTTCGGCGCATCGCGTCTATTTCGGAATTACAATACATATATTGAGAAGAAACAAGATTTGATTTAATAAGTATAAAATTACTCTAGTTATTTATAACTTTCGTCATATCGATATTATAAGTGAGATATAAATCTCGCTATCGAATTGACGGCAGTAGTTTGCAGTGACGCACCATAAATAGCTCCGCGATGGCTGTTCTAGTCTTTTCTGTACATCACCCTCGCTTCCCGCTACTGCATACAAATTTATTTTGCAGGTATTTATTAGGTAATACCATTGAAATGAACCGATAATATGGTTACCACGGCGATATACGTCGTAACCATAATAAGCTACAAACAGAAATGAGACGCTTTTTTTAGATTTATTGGGGGATTTTTTCGGGAGGGATAATTATGCTACTCATTTGGTTGTGTTAATGCGCGCCAATTGGGGGGGGGGGGTGCAATAACTATTTAAGTACCTTTCTTTACGCGGAGCGTCAATGTGATTCACTGTTTGCTAATCAAAAACGTCCACTTAGGGGGTTGGTATAATACTGGAAACGGCAGACAATCAACATACTACAGTAATAGGGAAACGCGGACCACCTGTACATTTTTTTATATCGACCACAAAGCTGTTAAAGCGACATTATGACGGCTGTTCTTAGTGTTGTTACGCCCCAAAGTTATTGCAAATGAAATTAGATCATAAATTTGACGGGAGAACAAAATGATCAGTCATGCTAAAAAACCCGGGCTGAAACTCGTTTAAATGTGGACGTGTGCGTTCAATTTATTATAAATGCAACACAACTGGCACAAATCAACGCTACTAAAACTGAGAGTATGACATGTACGGCTCAAATTATACCAACGAACTGGCGCCAAACTGAATTTAGTATTTCCGCTATCTAACGTTTGTTTGTTTGCGTGGATGCAACTTATCATGCACATGAATGCAGCCAATTACATCACTTCCCGCTGTGTCACACAATTGTCGTGCAGGGGACAGCAATGTAATTTACTGCATACATGTAAACGACTCCAAATGTCTGAGTTCCGGGATATTTACAATCAAACATTTCACTGCCATGTCCTGATTAGATGAATATCTGGAGCACTATTTTACTGATAACGCGACTACCTCTGAAAGAGGCTGAAACAAAATGGCGGATTTTATAGCGTGCTCGGACATTAATACAACGTGACACTAAGACTCGCAGATTGTATATATTGAGGATGTTATTTTGATTGATGTTGTCACCGACCTGATTTCACACCGGGAAAAGGTAAATTGTCATGCCAACGTAACTGAATTGAACATTTTAAGAAAAACCTTAATTGGAATGCTGGAAAGAATAAATAGTTGCATTCGTTGGAATTGCTCTGTTTTTAACGATCCTCCTGTGCTCCGTGCATTATGCATGATACTTGCATTTTCATAAGGATACTCTTTCTAACACTCTGTCATCATTCATACGTCATTTACATATACACGTTTATTTGATACGAACTTCAAGTTCAGTTGTTTTAGATTTGTTATATCCTTATTTATAGGTGACATTGAACTGATCAACAGTGTATACCTAAATATAACTAGTAGAGTTGGGGGGGGGTCTTGTCTTTTTTTTTATGAGCCATTTAGATAAATGTTAATTTATATTAGATGCTTTAAGCTTCGGCGAGTAGTTATGAAAATGTTCAGTAACGTCTTGTCCAATTTCGACACACCCTAAGGAGTTTGTTTACGTCTAATTTATTATATTGAAGAGATTTCCAGAAATGACACTTTGAAGGAGTTTGAAAAGATTGAAGACCTTGGTGCCGCATTGAATCGAGTGCCTGGGAGCAAGCAAAGTCATATTTACGAGTGTGCATTCGAATTACAACGCACAAAACGTATGATGGTTTTCTTCGCGAATAATGTGCGTACCCAATACTTTTATTAGAAGGCTCGTACTACGAACAGACAAAGGCATGTACGCTTTTGGATGGCGGCTCAATACGTACTTGAATGTGAAACAATGGACTTTATAGTTGACAGGAAACCTTGAAAAGAGACAATATTTTTTAACTGTTATTTATTTTAGGGACATTGCTGATCTTAGTATTATGTAATATAACAAGTCAATTAACATATAAACATAATTTTTGAATAATTTAATAAATTGAATATGTTTACTGCAAAAAAATGTCATTTTTATTTTATTTTAACTCACACCTTGCTACCCTACCGAGTACACTGGCTTACCAAATCTGTAGCTTATATTTGATAGAACGTTAAAAGACGGACAAAACTGTATGTCTCATGTCGTGTACAGGTCACTACAAAGCGCGCATGCGTCAGTTGAGAACGAGTAATCGGCAGATGTACGCCGGGCTTAAATCATATCATATTATTTTTTTATCAAGATAGATTTTCATACAAATTATTTAAACATGCTAAACAAATCCCTGAACTGTGCTGTGGTAGAATGGCTTACTCTCCGTTATAGAGACACACAGAAAAGTTTGTGATTATTCGATGTTTAATGCGATTGTATGATTCCAAAATATGTGTCAAACCCTGAAATATCGCAAGTCACGTGGTCGCCGCTGAATCAATTGAACTGTGTTTGATATGTTGAGAATGGGAACGATTCACAATAAAAAATGCAATTATTTTGTTTACGACTGGTTATTGCTTTACGTTCACGTATTTCACGATAAAAGTGTTAAATAAGCCCAACAGCGCTGTCCGCATGTCAATCGTAGTTATATACATGCCCAATGAAATAGCTGGTTGAATGGACATCTAGGGGTAGGGGGCATCTTCCTAGGTAAATAAATTGGGATGTACCCTAGCACCTCCAGACCCTATCTCTTTTAGCGCAGCCGAAATACAAAACATTGTACTGATTCAGAGAATTTTAGACAAAATGTATATGTTTCAGGGCAATGGGTTATGAATTATATGAACGGTTTTTACAGTGTTAGAAGATTGTTCAATGATATATTCATATTTTCAGTAATGAATTCTGAAATTGTGTGACGCATTCCAAAAAAGCGGAAATATTTATACAGATTCTAAATGGATGTACTCGCGGGATGTGCATACAAAGTGGTAAACTACTATTCCAAATGTGATACGACAGTTTGTAATGTTTATGTTTGTATATCTCCACAAACTGCGATGTTCCCAATTTGTT